TTTAAGTTTTCAAAAAATCATTTTACGCTAAGCAAGGCAATAAAGCCACTAAGACACAAGGTGTTACTGAGTATGAGAGAATAAGAGAGAAAGAAAACGTTATTAAGGAGAAAAAACATTAAAAGCACAAGAATTTAAAAAAAAAAAACAGGTGATGATGATTGACATTGCATCTAAATTTTGAAGATCAAAGTTGACTAGGAAGCAAGAAGCCAGAACAGAGTCCCACAAGTGAGAAGTGCGAGAGCAGAAACTGTTAGCATAGAACTTACGGTGATATCTAGCCACTAAGACACAAGGGGTTACTGAGTGTGAAACAATACAAAAAAAAAAAAAGAAAGAAGGAAAGGTTATCAAGAAAAGAGAACAATAGAAGAAGAATTAAGAAGTCAGTCGATAACTATTGACCATGCATGTAAATGTTGAAGATCAGGTAAAGTGAGTTTCAAAGGCGGGAACTGCGATAGAAGAAACTGTTAGCATAGAACTTACGGTGATATGTAGCCACTAAGACACAAGGGGTTATTGAGTGTGAAAGAATAAGAAAAAAAAGAAAGGTTGTTAAGAAGAGAGAACCGTAGAAGAGTAATTAAGAAGACAGTTGATAGCGATTGGCATTGCATTTAAATTTTTGAAGATCAGAGTTGGTTTGAAAACAAAAAGCTGGAAGAGAAGAAACTGTTAGCATAGAACTTACGGTGATATGTAGCTACAAAGTCACAAGGGGTTATTGAGTGTGAAAGAATAAGAAAAAAAAAGAAAGGTTGTTAAGAAGAGAGAACCGTAGAAGAGTAATTAAGAAGACAGTAGATAGCGATTGGCATTGCATTTAAATTTTTGAAGATCAGAGTTGGTTTGAAAACAAAAAGCTGGAAGAGAAGAAACTGTTAGCATAGAACTTACGGATACATACCTGCAAAATGATGAGACCTAGCAGCCAATCTAGTACTGCGCTTACATTCATAAAGTCTCGTTACCATAGAGGAAAGCTCATCCGAACAATTACCATGAAAATATTTATGGCAAAGGCACAGGGAAGCTACATTACGGCGGTGGGAATGTGACTGAAACCGAGGTCAAGGCCGATAATATTGCAGATTTTATGTGTTTCATCAATAAACTCTAAATGCGTAACCGAAGCACTAGACGCGATGTGACAACAATATTCTAAACATGGACGAATAGTAAACTTATAAATATGCAAGATAAATTGTCTCGAGAAAAAACTGTCTAGCACAACACAGGGAAGCAGACTTATCAATTCATGCAATATAATCTTTCTCTTTCATGTCAGTGGAACACGTTAATCCGAGAAGGAGAATTGAATGAAGGCTAGGGCCGGATTATCCTTTAGGCTGCAACCGGAGCCACGTTAAGTTTTTATAAAGGGTTAATTTTAAATTTCTAGATTTTACAACTTTTGAATACAGGGTGCTCCACCCCCACAAAGTTGGTACAGTTTATTTAATTGTTGGAATTTTTTGCAGTTATTTGAAACAAAAAGAAAGGATAGAAATTTTATAGTTTAAAATAGAACTAAAACACAAACGTTAGATGCGGTGTTCAAACTAAAGAAATCTGGTAAAATTTCTCGGCATTTTTTCAGTCCTCCATGTTGGATTTTCCTTCTTAAAGAGAACAATCACTTCGCGTTGAAAATTTGACAACTGCGGCATCTTGGAACGGCAAGTTTTTAAAATTATATGTTAGTTAAATATTTTAGTTTTCAAACATTTAGCCTGACGTGCTTTTAACCGATCGAGCCACAGGGAAGCGTTCGATTAGCAAGGACGAATTTACTGCCTTTAAACTTCAATCTTGTAACTAGAGATGTGACCTGATGACCCAGGGAAATATATTTTTGGGGGAAATGAATTATAGCCATGGAAACCTAACGTTATCTATTTCTTAATTATTTAATTAATTAATTAACATATATATTAATTAACATATAATTAATTTCAAATAATAATAATAATAATAATATAAAAACGTAATAAAAATATATATAAAAAATATTAAAAGTATTAAAATAATATTAAAATATAATTAATTACAAATATTAAATAATAAACATAATATTAAATAATAAATATATAATTAATTAACATATATATATATATATATATATATATATATATATATATATATAAATTGTCCGACAATTATTTTAAGATATTTTTTCATGTTTATACATTCTTTTTTATAGATACAAATATTTAAGTAAATGCTCTGTTTTATAATAAACACTATTAAACAACATTTACCGGCCTGAATGTCTGAGAAATATAAACATAAAAAATATCTTAAAATAATTGTCGGACTTTGTCCATTTCATAATGTGTGACGTCATTTGTTTACATTTGAATACGCCTCGAGCATATATGAATGTATGAGAAGAAAATCATGGAGAATTGTGGTTTAAAAAAAGTAAAATGGAGCTTGCTATCCGAAATGTTCCTCTGTGGCTCAATCGGTAAAAGCACGTCAGGCAATATGA